TAGCCCCCCAACCTCACCCCACCCCACCCCACCCCACCCCAAATAATAATAAATAAATTGTATTATGCATGGAAAATATATGCATATTATGCTACCAACTATTAACTTAATACTTAACTGTAAAACCCAAAAAAATGTATTATTTCAAAATGCATTATACACCAAAAATGAGGTTCAAACAAGCTCATATTAAAAATTATTATTATAATCAAACAGGAACTCAAAATTCTGATGGTCATATGTTGCTAAAGACTCTGCTTCACTCGTTGTTTTAGGATCTTCGTTAATTTCTATCAAGTCAAGTAAAACGTCTCTTATTTATACTGTTGACTCCATTATAGGCTTCACACTTTCAACATGACTTTTCCAACGTGTTTGTGACAATGGCTTTACTGTCAAACATTGTACATTATCTTTAATGCTAATTCATTTCTTTTTCTTTTTCTTTTTTGAACTCTAACCTCATATTTAGGAGACACCATGATATATGACTATGTGCGCCTGTGCAATTGATCCTAAATCAAATCTAAAAAAAGTCAATATAACCCGATAAGGGTGCAATATTACAATGCAATCATATAAACTAACAAGGTCTCAAACATTTCCTATATGTTTATAAATAAGCGAAGACTATTCATTGCTCACCTGAAAAATAGGACTTGCACAAAAATTATGAAATGACATAATGCGGCACTTTGAGAATTACACATTCAAAACTCACACTCCTGAAATCAAAATTTAACAATCCAAAAGTACATGTGTAAATATTCTGAAATGAAAGATGATTTATACATATTGAATAAAAATGCAATTTTAAGCGATGGCTTCCCCAAAAAAAAAAAAAAAAAAAAACACACACACACATCATGTGTAAGCATAATATTGAATTTTCTGCAATTTGACATTTCATCAAACACCATAGTCTCAAACCAATCAACATGCTTATACTAATCAAACAATATTACAGCACATGAAATATTATTGGAAGTCATTTTTAGAATATAACCAAGTGCCTTTAATAATAAGAAAAATTGCAGCAACGGTCTCTAATATTTTCATTTTTACAGACTTTACCCTAACTTGTATTTTGTGACAGTAGAAGTTCCTAATCTTTTATAAATATGCACCAGAGGTCCATCTGGGCGAAAACTATCCAAAACACCGTCAGTTGATCAGGAAATTAAGGAGTCAATATCCAATAAAATCGTCCAAAAAGGTGTCAACATCCAATAAAAATATCACGGTAGAAGATAATTCAAGGAATTTTCCAGGTCAATTGATGGTGTTTTGAACGGTTTCTGTCCAGATGGACTTCAGGTACATATTTATGAAAAGTTAGAGACCTTCACTGGTACAAAATGAAGGTTAGGGTAAAGTCTGCAAAAAATAAAAAGATTAGGAACTGTTGCTACAATTTTCCCTTAATAATAATTCAAAGATTTCAACCCAGGCTTTCTAATCATTTAAGAACATGCCAATTGCCGAAGTACAACGATAGAGTTTGAACAAAATTTATGAAAGGAGCATATGTATATCAAATGAAGAATGGAATTATAAAAGCAAATGTATTTTCGTCTTGCACATAATGAGAAGGACGTGATGAAAAATTACTCTAAGAAATTGGGGATTAAGAAAACAAAAAATAGAAAGATAATAGATCAAATATGGAAAATAATCTTTTAGCAACAAAAATTGAATTGTAACCAGAGTGAACATTACTTTACACAGGACCACTCTAGCATCAATAAACATGCAGAATAAAATCTAAATTTTTTTATCAGAATATATTTTTTTATAAACAAAAAAAAAATCAAAACTTAATGTCTTAAAATATTACATAAATTACCGGCAATTAGCAAATTGTGGAGTTCAGTATGTGTAGAGAGAGCTTTCTTTGATTGCTTCAACAATATTCTTCGTCGGACACACGAGGGAGAGATAATAGGGTGTGACAGAAGAAGGAATCAAAATTTAGACGCATGCACAGAGGGCAAACAGTAAGGAATGAAGGGAAAAATTCATTTGTAAGAGTTTATCTATAGCCCACTTCAAAATTAAGAGGAGAAGGTTTACAATTTCAATTTTCAGATACTATTAAAATTTATTTATAAAATATTTTATTAATTAAACATATTAAGGTCACAAATCCATATAATTTGGTTACAAATTATCAAATTAATTGATCACAAATTATTTATAAGTCACAAATCCAAAATTCTATAGGTCCCAAATTATTTGTCGGTCACAAATCAAAAATTTTGTAGATTACAATTCATTGATCGGTCACAAAATCTATTTTTTTATTGGTCACAATTCATTTGTCGATCACAAATCAAAAATTTCATAGGCCACAATTCATTGATCGGTCACAAATCAAGATTTTTATTGGTCACAACTCATTTGTCGGTCACAAATAAAAAATTTCATAGGTTACAATTCATTAATCGGTCACAAAATCAAAATTCTTATTGGTCACAACTAATTTGTTAGTCACAAATTAACAAAATAATTGGTCACAATTAATGTTACAGTTACAACTTAATAAATTATGAGTCACAATTATATTTTTTAGGTCACATATTATTTATTTGACACAAATTAACTCCCACATCCCATCCCATCTACCCCAACCAGCACTCGCGACCACCGTCATCTAAGCAAACTACAAAACCACCTCCACAACAACCACCATACATCGCCAGAGCCACCACCACCAACTCTCGACTACAACACCATCGCTTCAAACAAATTAACACATCACAGAAAAAACACAACCACAATCATCACGCCAGACCCACCACCACTGCGATAAACCCCACTACAATGCAAATCAACAGTCTTAAATCACCGGTCAATACCCATAACCCACTAACCAGGAAATCTCAACTCAAAACCATAAAACAAATCGGCGCCGTCCACCTGCTACACCCTACCAGTACACCTATTACCTAACCAATCGCGCCGTCTCCCACCACGTGTCGGATTCACAATCTGTATCGCCACCGTCCGCACAGCCAACGATTTCCATCTACCATGGGTCACAG